GTGATATGGAACCACTCCTCGGAGTGATCAGCCAGCAACCTGGTGGCAGGTTGATTACATTGGACCACTTCCATCATGGAAAGGACAACATTTTGTTATTACTGGAATAGATACTTATTCTGGATATGGATTCGCCTTCCCTACAGGCAATGCTTCTGCCAAAACTTCTATCTGTGGACTTACAGAATGCCTTATTCACTGTCATGGTATCCCACACAGCATTGCTTCATATCAAGGGACTTACTTCACAGCATGATGTGCAGCAGTGGGCCTATGCTCATGGAATTCATTGGTCTTACCATGTTCCCCATTATCCAGAAGCAGCTGGCTTGATAGAACAATGGAATGCCCTACTAAAAACACAATTATGGTGCCAGCTAGTTGGCAATACCTTGAAGGGTTGGGGCAGTGTTCTCCAGGAGGCTGTATATGCTCTGAACCAGTGTCCAATAGATGGTTCTGTTTCTCCAATAGCCAGGATTCACGGGTCCAGGAACCAAGGGGTGGAAATGGGAGTGGTGCCACTCACTATTACCCCTAGTGACCCGCTCAAAAATTTTGTGTTTCCTGTCCCTGCTACGCTATGGTCTGTGGGTCTGGAGATCTTAGTCCCAAAGGGAGGGTCACTTCCACCTGGAGACACAATACTGATTGCACTGAACTGGAAGTTAAGAATGCCACCTGGCCATTTTGGCTTCCTCATGCCTCTGGATCAACACACAAAGAAGATCATTACCGTATTATCTGGTGTGATAGATCCTGATTACCAAGGAGAAATTGGATTGACATTACACAATGGAGGTAAAGAAGAATATTTCTAGAATACAGGAGATTCTTTAGGACGTCTCTTAGTACTAGCATGCCCTGTGATTAAAGTCACTGGAAAATTACAACAACCCAATTCTGATATGACTACTAATGGCCCAGACCCTTCAGGAATGAAGGTTTGGGTCACCCCACTAGGCAAAGAACCATGACCAGAGTGAGGTGCTTGCTGAGGGCAAGGGGAATATGGAATGGATGGTGGAAGAAGGTAGTTCTGAATATCAGCTACGACCACGTGACCAGTTGCAGAAATGAGGACTGTGTTTGTTATATTTCTTTCATTGTATATGTGCTTAAAATAGTTTTGTTTCTTTCTGTTATGAACTGTGAAATGTAAATAAGGTTAATGTGTTTGGGTTGTACGTGTGTTAGTGTATCATGTTAGGTGCAAATATGACTTTATAATTGTCCTTATTTAAAGATTATATATGATTAAGAAGATGTGTACAACTGCCAAGTTGACAAGGGGTGGACTGTAATAGTTGGAGCTGTGTGTCAACTTGGCTAGACCACAATTCTGTGTGGTTTAAGCAGTTGTGATGTAGTTATCCCCATGATGGGATCAGATGTATATGTTTTGAGGAGCCAATCCATTGAAAGGGAGTTTCCCTAAGGGTGTGGCCTGCTTCCAGTATATTTATGGACATCCTGGGAAAAGAGACACTCTTCCGTGGATTGGGATCCTGTTGTGCTGCCTACAACTGTCTATGAGTGAACAATCCACCATTTGGCCTGGAGATCTTGGATTCGTCATTCGTTGGAGTCAACAGCCGATATACTGCGTGCCAACCTTGAGCTCGTCAGCCCCTGCAGCTGTGTGAGTTGGGAAAAGCCTCCAGCTTGACGTGTGATCCAAGAACTTGGGACTTGCCAGCTTCTGTAAGTGTGAGCCGTTTTCCTAGGATAAATTTCTCTTTCTCTATATGTATATATAAACTTTACTGGTTTTGCTTCTCTAGAGAACCCAGCCTAACACGCATGCCCACACACAGATAGGACGTGGTATATCCACACACGGACAGGACGTGGTGTATCCACACACAGCAAAGTGCTCCTCAGAAAAGAAACGGAGCCCTGACGCCTCCACTCCATGGACAGGCCTTGAAAACTGTGTTGAGTGAAGGAAGCCTGATGCTAATGAGCACACGTGGTTTGATTCCACTGACATGTAACACCCAGAAAAGGCAAATCCAGAGACAGAAAGTGCCTTGTGGTGGCTGGGCCAGGTGGGCCAGGGAGTGCCTGCAAATAGGCACAGTTCTTGGGTGTGACGGAGTTGCTCTAAAGCTGGACGGGGTGATGCAGGCTAAGCTGTGAATTTACCGCAGCCATGGCATGGCATGCCCATGACAGGTGGGTTTCATGTACATTTCGCCTGCATGAGCTGCCCCACCCAGCACTGTTACTGGGTCTGCTTACCAGCTGGCCCACACGCCAGGAAGGGCCAGAAGCAAGTCTGCCTTTTCCCACCATCCCCTCAGGGCTCCAGGCAACCCCCGGCTCCATGGGGAACTCGGGTCCCCCAATATTTAATAATGCTTGTTGGGTGAGTGAATGAACAAGTAGGTGAATGAAACAGTGAGTGAGTGAGTGAGACTGTGTGACTGAATGAGAGTGAGTGAATGAGTGATAGCAAATAAATGAATGGTGTGAATGAAACTGAATGAGTGGGTGATAGCAAGTGTGAATTAGGTGAATTAGTGAGTTGAGAGAATGAGTGGGGTGAGTGAGCGAGTGAACGGGCATTTCTGGAAAGCAACCAAGGCTGTGGTGGGGCAGAACCCAGTGTGCTCTGAAGCACAGGGGACCTTTACAGGCATTGCAGGCTGAGGGATCCCAGGACTCATGCCCGGCAGGGCACCAGCCCCCTTGACCACAGGACAGCTCAGAGAAGCTTGCCAACCTGGAGGGAAGGGTGAGGAGCAGAGCTGGGCCGGCTGGTCTGAGAGGGTGCCAGCCGGGGACAAGTGTGGGTACCATGCCTCCCCAGGGCCATTGGTCTCTGGTGGCAGGTGTACGAAACTCTGAGGTCCCCACCCTCTGAGGGACCACCCCGTGAGATGTCCTTCCACGCCTCTGAGGTCACAGCCACCAGCTAGGGGAGCCCTCCTGACACCACCGCCATCTTCCCCTCCCTTCAGGAGCAGCTCATGGCCAGTCCCTTCCCCACCTGCCACCTGACTTCCGACCCCACCACTGGCCGTGAGGACACAGGTGGGGGAGGAATACCAAGAGACCAGAAGCTCTAATGGGGGTACGCTAGGTGGGGGTGCATGGCCACTGACTGCAGGGTCTGGGGAGTCGAGACTGGGCGGGGTGAGCCCCTTTCCCTGGACACATCTATGTCCTACCCCCACCCACGTCAGCATGGCTACTGTAGGGGCAGGGGACCAGAACCCTCAACACATGCCTCTTCCCCATGTTCACACTGAACAGTGGCCACCCCCCAGCTTCAGAATACAATCTAGACAGGCGGGGCACCAGGCATGCTCTTTATTGGGGGAAATACCTGCTGGCACCACCAGTCCAGCCAGTGCTATGGGGCCATGCACCCCTGGAGAGGGCAGGGGTGGGGCAGCTGCCCCTCGCTGGGCAAGGTGGAGAGCCCGAGGCCCACTCAGAGCCCCTCTGGCTGGACCCTGCCTGTCCCCTGGGCCCACCAAGAAGGCCCTGAGTGGGACCTGGTGCCCTCTGATGCCGGGCAGGTGCTGCAGGGAGGGGCTTTCTGCTGACAAGGACGTCCTGGCTTTGGGCAGCAAAGACTGACCCTTTTCCCCTCTGGGGGTGGACACACTGGGATGTGTTCCCCCGGCCTGCCCATAGTACTGCCAACTAGCCCACCTCTGCCTAAGCCTGTTGTCAGACCCTGGGATCCCTGCCTTCCCGCCCAGCCCCACTCAGCCACTTGGGGCAGCAGGACTTGAGGCTAAGGACCACTGGACTAAGCCAAAGGAGGCAGGCTGGTGGGGGGGGGGTGCTGGGGGCTGTGAGGAGGGGCCGCGGGGTGGTAGGCTTTCCCTGGCTCCCAGGGCCTTGGGGGAAGGGTCTGTGGGGACCTGGGCCCTTGAGCCCAGGCTCAGGTGTGGGGCTGGGCCTCCCGGGCTGTTGGGAAGCATGGCCAGGGCGGGGTATGCAGGCGGGGGGCGCAGGCAGGGGTTGCCTGACTCCGTGCAGTTGGGGCCTGTGCACATGCAGGGCACATGCAGTGCCCGCTAGGGCCCTGGCCGGCATGTCGCTGGGTAAGGCACTGAGTTCTGCTGGCCGGGCCCAGTGGTGGCCCGCCCCTCGACAGCATGCCCTGTCCATCGCTGGGAAGGTGGTCCCAGCTTCTCACTTGGCTTTGGGCTTGGGCCTGAGGCCTGTGGGGAGAGAGGACATGGTTAGGGACAGCCTGGCCCCTCGGCACTGCGGCCAGACCGATCCGCCTGCCAGCCCAGCCCCCAGGTCTCTTGGGCAGGGCCATCGATGCTTGGCTGGAGACAGGCGCCCAGCATTCGTTCCCCTCCAGACTGGCTGCAGAGACCTGGCAAGATGTGAGCGTGGCTTCCCTCCTTCTGCCGGGGGCCTCCTTGCTCTGTCGGCTCGGAGTCTCGCTGTCACCCCTGGCCCGGCAGCCCAGCACTCTGCTCTGCCTGGGTCCCGTGGATCTGGGGAGGGCTCATCGCCCCCACCGACCCTCGGGCTTCATCTGTTCTTGCCACATCTCAGCGCTGAGGGCACTGGGGCCCTGCCCCACGGCCGCCCAGCCAGCCAGCCCCTCCCCCTGGCCCTGCAGACCCAGCTGCGGTGCTGCTCAGCGCGCCGCCCACTGAGCCCTCCGCTCTGGCCCCGGCGTCATGCCACCCCAGTGGGTCCCAGGCAGGCTCAGGTTTGAGAACCACAGCTCGTTAGAGACGGGCAAGAACACCCAGTGGCCCCAAACCATTCAGAAAAGGGACTTCAGTACTGACCCCACCCAGGAAGGGGACAGCTGGGGGCAGAGGGCAGTCAAGGTCCCGGTGAGTCGGGAACAATGGGCCAAGCTGAGGAAGGGGCGTGCTCAAAGCATGGGTGCGCTGCCAATCAAGGGGATGGGAGTTAGCCCAGACGGGGCCTCGCTGGTCCCACCTGAGACCATGTGAGCCCAAGATGGAGGTGGACCCAAACCCACTGCCGTGGAGTCAATTCCGACCCACAGCGCCCCTAGAGGATAGAGTGGAACTGCCCACAGGGTCTCCAAGGCTGTCAG